TGCAGTACACTAGCATGCTATTGCTTATGACATTCTCCTAGTGGGACAAATATATGGAGATGAATAGAAGAGATACATAGCAGAAAATATAAGAGAGGCTTCCTATGCAACGTATCCACTATGCCAGTCTAAAATGCCAGTTGAGAGTGTAAGTAAGTTTTAAAGTCAATCCCTACAAACTGATATTTGTATTATATCTAAAAATATCTAATATTTTACGGTCTAATAATATCAGCTCTTGACTCACTGTAAACTTCAAAAGTATTAAAAAAGAAAAAAAAAAACAAACCGAAGCTCTTCAAACATTTTGCAGGCAGTTTATCTGTATCTGAAAACTCTTACTTCAGCTCTTTCAAGATAACAGCGTGTAAAACAGTAGCTGAAGCAGAAAGAACAGACTCATCGTATCACACACATATCATGTGCTCAATGCTTTACGGTAAAAAAACACTCATGCATGAATTCATAGACACTTATAGACTAGTCAAGCTGCTGACAAGCTAACTTTCACTTACTAAGATGTGACAATCTTCCCAATTTATTTTTATTTCAGTTCATAAGTATCCAGTGAGAGCTGGTAAAAATAAAAACATGTAAACCAAAATACATTTCTGGGTATTCTTACGGTTATTACAGTAAATAGTACCATTGCTCCTTTCATATGAAATAAAGTGGACAGGGCATAGGATTGTTGTGCAGAGCTGAGCTGCCTCTGCCGAGGGATGCCAGGTGAAACCTTTCAGTGTACAGAGCATTAATAGGGAAAGCAGGGTAGTGTTTGCTGTGCCTGTAAAATGGGCAGGAAGCACTGCCCACACCTGTTCTTCCCTGCTCACGCCAATGCAAAATTTACTCAGCAGCATAAGATAATGTCAGGATGATTTTCATTTCAGTGAGGAACAATGATAATCACCATAATCTAATTTCAAAGGCTGTGAGGTGCTATTTATTTTCACTAACATAACTTCAGTTTGAATTACTTCCATTTTATGATTATGAGGAAAAAGAAATAGAAAAACGCAAAATGAAGTCTTTCCAGGAACACAGTGGGTTAGATTTTTCACCGTGGCTGACAGAAGGGGCTCATAGCTCCCAGTGGAGTACAGATCTGGCACAGGGAGAAATTGCTTGACCTCATGCGCTGACCCTTAAGTATTGCTAGACGGTGCAAGCCAGGGCAGTCCCCAAGCTGCTGTTGCATCTGAAGCTAAGTAATGCTGCCTCTGATTTTCTGACATCTACTTGATTTGCCATGTCAGCAAGGACATAGCAAGCCTAGTGCAGATTTGTCTCAGCTGAATCCAGTGGCTACAAGTGAGTATTTAAAGGTACAATGCATAGATATTAAAGTAAAAGTGATGACAGAGAGATATTTGTTTTTCTCTTCCACAAGTAAGATCAGCAGCAGTCCTGCTATTTAAAAATCAGCTATCCTGGTGAAACAGAAGAGAGTGTGAATGGTGTCTTTCTGATCTCATAGCAGCACTGTGGGTCCACTTCATGCCGGAGTAAATAGCTGCAGTGTGACACTGGAGAAGCAGCTCCCATCTAAATCCAGAGCAAGTGCTATGAAGAAACCTTAACATTACTGATAATGATATTTTTTGTGAAACAAATAGCGCTCTTCCAAGAGCAAGACAGTGACAAAAGTAGTTTCCAAGTGAACACCTTTCTTGAATCTTGTTACATCTATCTTATGAGAAAACACAGCTCACCAGAGCCAGTGCTGTTTGAGAATAATATGACAAATCCTACCCAGTGCCCTTGCTTCACTATCCAATGACTGTCTAAGATGCCAAGTTGTTTCCTGCTAGGCATTTTTTCAAAACTGGCACTGTAGAAGTTGAACCCAGCGCACAGCATATTCAGAGTTGAATGAGGCATTTTTAGGCATTCGAGTAACAGGAAGTAAAACAGTTAAGTGTCTAGCATGGAAAAGACCCCTCTTTTCGTCTGAGAAACGTTAAAATTACTGTTTAAAAACAATTAGTGGAGAAATCTGGCTGATCTTCATTTTCACTTTTGCTTCCAAATTCCTCCTAAAGAAAATTACGTTGAGTAATCAGTTCAAATGTAAAACTTCTTACTGTCTTGTAGCGTAGCATCACAGTTGATGGTTTTTTACCTGACTTACTTATGGGGTCTTACATAGACTGTGCATTAAAAATCTCTTCTGTGGAATAATGTTGATTTACTTTGGTGTTGAGATTTTTTTGTGCCTGTTCTTTGATTTAACTTAAATCTCTTACCGCTTTTATGATATGAAATATCTTCCGTATATTGCCATGCTGGTGGGTATGTGTGGTAATTTCCAGTTTAATGTGTTGGAAAGTTTGGAAATGAGATACAGGCACGTAATGATGTCTCCACCTGAAAGATGCCTGTTTAGACATAAGATAGCATGTACAGCTTTTATTCAAATTCCCAAAAGATGTTTGAATCCAAGCACCATTCCTGAGACTGGAACAGTTAATAAAGGCATTCTTAAACAAAAATTCCATGAGCAACAGTAAGTCCAAAAGTAAAGTGTATTAAAGGCACTCAGATAACCTCTTCAGAATGGTAAACCACATTTCATGACAGCATAATTCTCAGTAACTTCAAGATATGGTATCTGAAGAGGCATACCTTTCCATTGCTGGAGTGCCAATAAATCCCCATGAGTTCACTGGTCATCGCAAAGCTAAAGTGCTGTAACTTTCCTTTGAAGTCCCAAAAAAATATACAAAAAAGTGCAAATTATGGCATGTGAGATGAAGAGTTTTCACAGACCCACACTCTCACTGTCTCTTGAAGCTGTGACAGTTGACAAGTATAAAGCCTCCATCTGAGTGTTAAAATCATCTCCTTTTAAAGAAAGAAAATGGAATAGTATTACTTTAAAAATCTGCAATAATTTAAGCAAATAAATAGCGTGATTTTAACAACTGAGTGGTAAAGAGTGAAAGTCCTATCTTCATTGTATACAAGCTTTTTTGTGCCATGCTAAAGTTAAGATGGCTCGTTAAAGCTAGCACCAATTACAAAGACATCTTGTTGCAATTTTTTCAGAGGGAAGAATTCTCTCTCTCTTTCTTATCTGTGGTCCAAATTCTGAATTTTCTATTACATCAAAGCTATCACTGACTATCAGCCATATAAATGAAATAACAAAACTGAAATCTGGTTAGATAACATCCACGGGAATGCTTGTCAGTAAAATCTGTGCATCTGAATAAAAGTTTGCAGAACTGAGACTTCAGTGATGAGGTCAAATGTCCTACATTTTCAGTGCTGATACGGCTTGAGCTGTAAGTTAAAATGATAACATGAACAATCCTTGTTCCTGTAACCAGGGCCATGTGGGTCATTTCCAAGGCTCTCTGGTAAAGTATCTGTGGCTTTTATGCTTCAACTACCTAGTCATCATGGAAGAAAGGTTCTTTCCAGTGTTTCTTAAAAATATATACAGCTGAGAAATATAAATGTTTGTCATATGACTTACTGCATGTTGCACAAAGATTTTCGGTCATTAAAATGAAGAAGTAACACAAAACCACAAAAAGCAGCTACCTCTCCTTTAATTTCTTCATTTCAGTAAGGGCACAGAGGAGGCTAGTGCCTACAAAGCGAAAGAATTCTACAACAGTCATACAAAAAGCCACGGGAAGCCACGCTGTCCTCAGACAACAAGCACTGGAATTACGTCCAGACATGCACCAATGTTGTCCTCCAGACTGCTGCTTGCTTTGAGCTTTTGTTCATTTGCACATGGCATAATTCCACTGAAGTTTCACACCATCACATGAAAAATAAGAAAGAGCCTTTGACTACAGCAATTGCTGATTTCTGAAAGGTGAAAGTTTTTTTGAAAGTGTCGTTTTGACTGTAATACCACTAACAGCAGTGGATTGGATAGCTATGGGTAAGATGCAAACACTACAGTCTGAGGTGATATGGGAATCTGTGAATCCATGCCCTCTTCATCCAATCCCTAGTTTTCATTTCACCTACAGAAGTTATTTTTTAAGCTGGTGACTTGTTGATGTATTTTTTTTCAGCCAAGTGGCTTCTTAAGTGAATCCTGTCCTTGGAAAAGCCCAACGCTGCCTATGTGTCCAGAAACTGCTGTGTATTGTTTCTTCAGGCCACTCAGTCAGCTGCATAACAGTTTTGCTCCAGTTTTGCTCCTTGGGGGAGAATCATTCATGTTCCTGGAGCACGTTAGGCAGCCTCAGGGCTGGCCTCAATAGGCTGTATTAGGGTCTGTTTGGACGCTACGGAATTACAGCTGAACCCAATGCCATTGTACCTGACACTGGCCACAGCCTCTTTCCTATCAATACATTGACCTGTCAGATTTGTATTTATAGGTAACAAAACTGATTTATGTAAGTAGGTGGTTTTTTTAAGAGCTTACCATATTGCTTTATAGTTTTCTATGGTGGTTTCTGTTTTTTCAGTTCAATTTTAGTACAGGACAGTTATATGCATCCTGATAATCTTTTAAGCATTATCTTCCCTCTGCAATGTAAAAATTCCTGGATGTCTAGGAAAGTCATATACTTGTAAAATGAGAAGTGGCTCAGTGGATAGTCTACTATTCCAGATAAATGAGGTATCATTTTATTTGTTGTTAAAACCTGTCACCTGAGGCAAAAGTATAGCAGACTATTACCATAAAAATCTTGATGCCTTCCAAAACAACCAGCTTTCTGTGTCCATCCTATTCAGCCAAGGCTACTAGAACTGCAGTTAGTATGCAGAGGTGTATACTGAGCTATGTATGCAAGCTATCTGTATCTCAGTGAAAGGGAACAAATATTTGTAAATTTTTACATCGCCTGTGAGAAAATCATAACATCAGATACTGCATTTTTAGAAAATTGAAGAAAAGTTGAATTTAAATTCAAAACTAGCCTCTATTTCAATATACCATTATTTAAGTTCCCATCTTATAAAGATTTATCTGTAAGAAAAAAAGAGCTGTAATCATAAGTATAGAAAACCATATGACTTACTGTTCTCATCTTTCAGGTTAGGGCTCCGTTTTCTTTTCCTGTCTGTTAAAGTAAATACGTACAAATTTAGCTTAAACATTTCTAGATTTGAAAGAAACAATATAATTCAACAAACTTTTAGATTAAACTGAGCTTTAAGCACATTTAAGTTTATTATTAATTCATACCAAATACATAAACTTCTCTACAATTCTTTTCTTTTATAAATTTTGAACAAAAGTCTGAAGTCCTTAATAGCAAGACTTTAATTTCATGACAATAAATACATTTGTCTGAATTTACTGGAGTCTATTCATATGCAGGAAAAGACCAGAGTAATAGCCTGTTTGCTGTATTACTCTTCCACTATTGCACTTGCAAATTACGAAAGAAACACTATTTATAGTAGTCTAATACAGCATACCATTTTAGTTTTACAGTCTTAATGGAAATCGAAAATAAAAGTTCTTTGTCATATGCTGTAACAACAATATCTTTGTAGCCGTGAAGAAAAACACCATTTAAAATATATTTTTACAGCCCTCCTTACCCAAGCCAAAACTTGTTTGTGTTCTTTACAGAATAGTAGCTGGTTGAATAATAAAATGTATCTTCCCATATACCTTGTCTCATGTACATAACAAGGTGAGGAAAATAAAACCCAACTCAAATGATTCAAGATCTTATTTTAGAACAGAGTGCATCTAGAAATAAAATGTGACCAAAGTCACACAAGCGTGCCTAGAGTTACTAAAATTTCCAAAAGGTCATTCACAGGAAAAATAAAGAATAAGTGAAAAGATCCACTATCTGAAGTAAAATGTACCTTTTTTGAGTTGCCCATTCTTGAATGATTTTCTCTTTTGAAAGATTATTAGTGCAGTGGTAAGGACAGCTACCATCACACACATGGGAACGATAAATAAGATCAGGGATTTTTGTCCACTATACTGTGTACTCATTAAAGCTGCCAAAAACATGAAAATAAAGTAAATTTATAACTTTCAAAACAGGCATCCTTTATGAAGTTATCAGTTCTGATTCTCCAAAGTCTTGTTCTCATTGAACAAAAATATTCTTAAATTTCATCAACGTACTGTTTTACACTTATTTTATGAATTTTTATTCTGCAATATTACTGTAAGAAGTTTTACAAAAAATGAGTCAAATCTCTCATTTGTATGGCATTTAAGTGAGCACTATTGCAATTTATCTGTATCCCATTCGAAGAACAATTAATTAGGAGTCTAGATCAGCGAAGACACCCATGCAGATTAAAGAATTTCCTCTGTACTGGCAGCCAAATAATGGGAGCTATGCTAAAATTAAAATATACAGAAAAATGACAGACTGGCTTGTTGGAGTGCAAGCTAGCTGAAGCTTCAAAGGCATAAATACTACTGACTCGTTTCTTTTCCGGAGCATCAATATTACACTGTTTGCTAGAACCAAATTCCAGTGAGGGATCATAGGACACAACATATGTACAAACACTCTTTGTCTTGTGCAAGTTCAAGGGGATACAAACCTAAAGTGGAAATGTGAGCTGAAGTTTCTCCATTCAGTTCTTTATTCCAGAACATGCAGCTGTAGTTCTCACTCATATTTGGTTTGAACGTCAAGATGCTGGTGACATTGTAGAGGCCATCTGCAGTCAGCTTGTATGTGGTATTTGCAGATCCACTGAGGTTCAAGTTCTTCTCATTTTGCCAGAAAACCTCTGCCAGAGGAAAGCCTTCTGACTGGCACATAAAAACAAACTTGTCTTCACCTGGTTTTCTCATTACTTGAGTGTTTATTCTCTTGTAGGATGCTGCATAAGAAGAAGTTGAATGAAATTACTTTATGCAACAACAGTCATTTTCCCAGTTCACTTTTGATCCTTCCCTTTAGTGCTATGTTTTGTCTATGGCTGTATCTGAGGTACACTTACTTGAAATGATGAAGGATGTTTTGTAGAACAATTCAGTATTCATTGTTCAATCCTCCTAAGGCCTACAGTGACAGAACTTACTCCACTACTTTATACAAAGTAGCAGTTGACACTGAATTTCTGATTTATCAATACGGAGGAAACAAGTGGTCTCATGGGACTCTATTTTCATGTTTTGAATATGCTACTTCAAGAAAAAGGTTAGTTTTAATGTTTGTTTTACCATAGCTTATAAACAAGTGTGGTATTTCTATCAAATGAACGTAAAATTTCTGTGAGGACAGTTCAGAGGACCCAGTGTGGGTCTTCAAAATGCCAGTATCCATTTTTGCATTTGACAAAACTCTTTATTTAAATGCCTGGGTGGGAAATGAATGCTGCCTTGTATCACATGGACATACTGCCCTTAGTGGGAAACACCAGAGGCCTTTCAAAAGATTCATCTATCATGCTATCCAGTAATGTACACCTTTATTACTAATGTCCCTTTGGCTTTGACAAACACAGAAAATCACATGTCCTTGCTCTGGGAGCTGCAGTCACTCAGGGAATTCCCAGCCGCTCGTGTAGTTGCAGCAGGGCTTGTAAGTAAATTAAAGCACCTCTGAGAAACCTTTAGAAATGGCCAGAGGTGGCCCAACAGGGCAACAGGTCAAATGAGAGGCAGAGGCTGGGGGCATTGGAGAAGAGGGTGAGGGATGAAGGACAGAGGGGGAGCAGTCATTCTCCCTCGCTGGCACAGGCTGCTTCTACAGAAGCTCAGCTGGCTGTTGAACCAAAGACTAGCTGGCACTAAGACGACTGCTTGAGTTCACCAGGGGTCTTGGTGAGAGAATTAGCAACAAATTCCTCCAAATGAATAAATTTCTACAAGCCTGTAGGAATTTAGTAGAGACATCTCAATGAATATATACTTATCTTCAGCCACTAACCTTTTACTTGCAAAGTAATGTACTTGTAGTCCACGCCCTGGTAGTCAATGAGACAAAGGTATGATCCCGCATCTGTGATCTTCACGCTGGTGATCTGAAGGATAGCTCGTCCCAATTTCAGTTCACTGTGCAGAAGTGCTGCTCTTCCTATGTAATGGTGATGTTGGGATGGAGGGAATGCCTTCCCATTGCGGAGTGTGTACACCTCTTTTGATTTTGTCTGGCCCTGCCTTTTTTGCTCCCAAACAACAGTCAAGAGTCCTAGATTTAACGAACCGTTCACAGGGAATCTGCATTCCATGGTCACGTTGCTCCCATACTCCACAACATATAGCTGTTGAGGAACTTCAACTGTAAATAAAGCTATGACAAGAAATGAAAACAGTTTTATTTATTGTATTAAAATATATTTTGATTTTCTTTAAATTTGGGCAAAAAATGTAGTCAGGCAGTTGGTTACTGGTTTGACTAAAAATTTTAAGCATTTTTTATTCCTACTCACACTGACATTTTTACCATGTCAGTAGTATTTATAGCGAAGCATCTATATTCTGTATTGATTACAGAGTCTGAAAGACAAGGACAAAATGAGCAAAGGTTTTTTTCACATTTTAGGAATAACTTAAAGCTAAGTCAGCGATTACACAGGGAGCACTTCTATGAAACTGTGATTGTATCTTATACATCCTAAGATTCCAGTAAAAGCAGCAGTTAATTGTGGAAATAGTAAATCTAATTTCATTGTCCTTTACAAAGAGAAAATCCAGTCTAACTCCTGTGAAACAGAGTTGCACTGGATAAGAACATGTAACTTGGAAGAATTGCAGCAATTTCTGTTTTCCGCAAGCCTGGGACCATATAAGTATTATTTGATCCCATGCATCTTTTCAGATACATGCAAGAGTATTCCAGAAAGTATATCAAAATAATCTTAGCCATTCACCAAATCTGAAATTCATATTGCTATGAATAGTTCACCATTTTAAAATGTCCTTGATAAAGGAGAGTTATTTATGATACATCATTCAATAGACCTTGTTACTACTTTCTATATTGGATGTACCATATATTGGTAGATTTAATTCAGAAGCACTTGGAAGTATTCATAGTGATATTCAAAAGTGAAGTTCATGCAACTATTTATACGTTCCTTTTATTTCTTGTGTTTGTGAAATTCTTACAGGGAAAGCTTCAGTTCCTTTTAGCAATATTTGTTTATTCACTTTAATACAGCTGTAATGAGGCAAAAAGAAATAGCAAAAAGTGCCAAGCCCCCTCTGGGTTTTAGCCAAGCTGCTCCTGCTACAGGGATGAACAGGGGAGTACGCATGGTTTTACTTCACTCAGCATCACGCTGAGGTTGTGCTGCTTTACAATTGGCTTAGGTTGCTTTGGTCATCCTCCATTTCATAGCCATGCCTGCTCATGCATGATGCCCCAACTGTCAATAAATAAGCCTTATTGTGGAAAGTGACAGACGTCTGTCCTGTGCTCAGTTAGTACACAGTGCCTTCTGTAAGACATTGTAAAGCAGAGGCTGTAGACATCACTGGCTATTTGTGCAAGTATCACTGGAGGTGCTGAAGCGGTATTTGCTGCGTCTGTGCTGCTGGTGGAATGAAAAGGCGGTTTCTCTCTCACCTGAAACCATGGAGAGCTGTATTTCTAGCAACAGCATTGTAAGGATTTGGAACATTTTCTCAGGTGGATCTGAAACAAAGTAGGATTGCATCAGAACTTTGCAACGACTACCTTCTCCTGCTGAGGTGGATTACAGCCGTGCTAGCCTTCAAAACCATGGCAGCTAAAAATCAGCAAAAATAAAAATACTAGGCTACCACTAGAAACAAGGAAAACCCTGTTTAAGACAACCCATGCACACACATGGAATATGAACCACTGACCTGTGGTAATGAAGGGAAATAAAACATTTCCACGACTGCACCTGTGAGGCTTTCAGGATCTGTAGCTTGCAGGCAGTCTTAAATAGTCTGACAGGGCAGCACTTTTACAACAACTTCCCATTGTAACTCTAGCCATGAATAATAAAAATCAATTGCAGTCAGCTTCTCACATGCAGGAGAGCTTTATAAACATGCACAAGAAGACTTTTTTAACTGCCTGCACTGACACCTGATCTAGTCTACAAGATCACTAAACCTGATTTGGTTTCAACTCTGCTTTTCATGGTTTTTTTGAGGATATTTATTGTCTGAGTTCTTTAACCTCAAGACCAGCAGATACCTGGAACTCAGTGTGAGGTACTGGAAATCTCAGGGTGGATAAATCAAAGTTTGCTTCAGAATGGATTAGATATGAAGACTTACTGATGCTAGTTCTTTCACTTTGCACATGGCGATACCTGACACGTACAAAGTACCTTGTATTACTGACAGTAAACCAACAGCCCTGAAGTAATGCAAAAGGAGAAAGTCCAGTTTTAGAGTGAGTGTCTTCCTGTTCCAGTAACAAGCAAACTATTGTTCGTACTTTTGTATACAGCTCATCATAACTAAAAAGCAAAAGACAAAACCCAGGGACATTTATAACAGAACTAATGAGAATAATAGAAAAGAAGGAAGAATTACTTTGAATAAAGCATGCTAACATGTAGTATAATCTAAAAAATTAGTGAAGAAGATCCAGAAATAAGCATAAGGAAGTAAAGAAGAGAAGGAGCAATTTTAGACTTCCCCAGAGCTAGACTTACTGGAGAGGGGTTTTAATTTTGCTTCCCCATTCATTTGTGGCTCAGCTTGAAACATTCAGGCTCTGATTTTCCCAGGTGCTGCATTTCTCTGCTTCCATTTTTGAGCTCGCAGTACCTCAGAAAGTCAGTTCAAGATTAAGCAAAGTTAGCAGCCAAAATTAGAGGACTTTTCCTAGAAATTTAGACCTTAATCTCTGATGTCACAGCTAAAGGTAACCTTTATGTCACCATAAAGGTGGATATGCAAACTACAGTAAGCAGACTTATTACATGTAAATGAGAGCTAATTACTTTTATCAGAGGACTGAGTTGCCACTACTTAATGTATGATAAATCATAATTATTTTAGCTGTATGAGAAAGAAGCTAATAAATAATATCAGCATTAATATCTCCATTTCTTGGATGCAGAAACAAAAGTCCTGTGCTACCATGACAGCCGGGTTAAATTTCACTCATTATGTAGCCACCACAGTGTTTCACAGTTATGACTACAAAGAAATTTACTATTCTCAGTCTCCTGCTACGCTCACTTCTCCACACAGCCTACCTAGAAGCAGAGGACATAGAGGGAAGAACTGAATGAAGAATGGAACAGTATTTCACATCGGTGTTTGGAACCCTGGATTAGCGTCATGTGGGACATTTGAGGTGATCTACGCTTTTTACAGCTCAGAGTACGTTGAGAATGCAGAGCATGTATCTTGCATAACATAGGGCGCGGGACTTTTTAAAATATCTGTATTACTGAGAGTAAAAGGATAGAACAAAAATAAGGGGATATATAATCAAAGGCCCAGCAGATAGCAATCATAATTATTAAATATCAAATAGGAGTGTATCTTGCCTGACCAGATGGATTAGTGTGAGAAGAGCATGACACATACCATAAATAAGTAGAAGAACCCAAAGAGGGAAACATTTTCACTTGTGATACAGAAAGCAGAGTGTTGGAATGCTTGTGGGGATCAGCAAGGATCTGTATTAGAAGGATCAAAGATCTATTAGCAAGGATCTGTATTAGAAGCCACCCTTCATTATTTCCATGACCTTACTAGTGGAATCAAGCTGTTGTGCAACCTCACTGCAATTTACCCATGCAACTTAATCATGTGGCTCTGACAGGCATCCTGACACACTTCTATAAGGAAGGTCTGCACCAGCATCTGGAAGGTGATTACTTCTGAGCTTCCAGTATGAACCATCCATGCTGTTACAGAATAACCTTCATTTTCTCCCTGCCTTTTGTAAAACATACGCCATGCCCTGCTATGCAGTAGTCCTTGTACACAACTATCCTAACAAGTTCATGCGCAGCACTGTCTTTTTTTTTCCGTTAAGCAAAAGGCCATTTCTAAAGCATATTCATCATCTGTCTGTTAAAACTACATAGGGATATAACAAAGGAACACTGCACCATAAAAATCAGCACTTAGTGGTTTTAGCAGCAAAGTCAGGAATTGAAATCCACATCTGAGAACATGAGGAAGTTACATGACATTTCAACAGCAATTCGGATCCTGTCAGTAAATGAATTTCCCAGACCAACCTGCAGAAGAAAAAGCAAGTTTTCACACGCTGCTGTGTGATTATGAAAATGAAGTTGAATAAACGTTTGAGGGTTGAGGTGATGAAAACCATAGCATCACACATCTGAAAACCATCATGACTTTTTATGAGCTGTAATAGTTCCAGTGAGGATGTAGGGCCCAAGACTAAAAATTTGAATAGGAACAATGAAAACAAAGGCATGAAAATATGAATGGCAAAAAGGAGAAATATAATCTTCTCTTTTTATACAGCTTTTTTATTTTACTGAAAGTACTAAGTTGAAACCCATACTTGACTTTCTTTGGCCCAAAAGGAATGTATTCTGGTAAGTTTTCTTAGTGAATGCTGAGTGAAATCCAGAGGGCAATGATAATAAGTCGCTAAAATTCCACCAAAGGTCAAAATGACACTATGTATAGTTTCCCTCCTTTTGATTCAGTTGATCATATCTATGACTTTAGTCGTGGCCTCGGATCACATACCCACAGGGATTATAACACTCATGTCCAAAAAACAGTAATTTTGGGCCAATGGAATGCACCAGTTCACATAAAATCTCAAGTGGTTGTCCAAAATCCTCCTGGTAAGGAGTGAGAAATATATTTCTTGCTCCCTTAGAAAATTTACACTCGGCATTACCATTTCAAACTGCAAAAGCTGTATGCTCCAGGCCACAATATTGATTTCAACATATTATTCAATTTTCAACATAAAGTATAGACATCATGCAATTCTACAGACAGAAGTGCAGAGGTGCTTGTCCTAACAGAGCTGTATGTTGTAAGGATGCTCTCAAGAGGTAAAAATGGTGGCAAAGGGGGAAAACCAAACTCTGCTATATGCTTAAACCATGGAGCTATTGAAATACTTTTTAAGTAGCTGTGCTTTGTATAGATCTCTTTGCCATGTGTTTATTGTTATGGCTACTGGATCTTATTTTCAGGGAACACTGAGGTTGTGAACGACAGTGAGTTGATGAGGGAGGTTGGCACCAGTCTGGTCAGAAGTGTTAAGACTGATTTGATCTAAGTTAGTGACAACTCCCACAATGTTGACAATATTGAAGAGTTTGCAGGAAGCTTTGTAAACAAAGGAACATGTAAATCACAGAATATTTTGCAATCTGCTACTTAGTAATAAAGATTGAAACCCATATCTGAATAATATGAACTGTAAATTCAATTCTCTTCCTTTCATCACTGTGTCTGAATGATCATAGTGCTTTTGTTAAATAGAAGGCGCATCTTAGTTTAAGACCTTCATACAAGACCCTCTGGCACCACCTTTGGTTAGTAGCATTGCTATGATTGTCCCTGCTCATCACAGCAGTGTTGGACTAGAGGACCCTCAAAGGTCCCTTCCAACCCAAACAATTCTATGATTGCTGCCAACACAAAGATAACACAGGATCCTGTGCCAGATGAATCTTCTTTATGCTATCTGCTAAAGGAACACAACCAAAGGCACAGTCACTGATTCAGGGACCTTATAGTCTAATAAATCATACATAACCCTTTCCTGGAACCATCATTCCAGCTATTAAAATATTTGTATTCCAGTGAATGGACAATTAAAAACAGTAAACACATTTAACATTTACATAGTGACACTTAGCAGCAGTAAGCAAGGAGAGTTTTGTAGACCAAGAGCATATCTTCTACTAGAACAAACAGAACTGTTGGAAAATCTAAACAAGCTTCCAAGCACACCGGCTCTTCTCCAGGTTTAAAGCAGAAGTCAAACATAGATAGAAGTTCACAATAATCACTCAGATTTCAATCTGAAAGATTAAAGGATTAAAAGACTAAGGAAAGGGTACTTAGTATTTTTTAAATTAAGTAGGTATTGTAGACAGACATTTGTTCGTATCGTATTTCCCTGCAGACTAAGTTAGGACATTGACAGCACTTAGAGATAAATCATAGAATCATAGAATCATTAT